AATGCACATTCTATAACGAAGCCATTTTAAAGGATTAATTACTTCGAACTCATCACGATGTAGCCATAGACAACAACACAGCAGTTATGTTCAGAGTGAAGATTTTCTCAGATACATATGAGAGTTAATTAATGACAATATGTTCTTTCTGTAGAACGCGTGTGGATGTGGGTGTGATCAGAAGATCAACACCCACACCCTAGTTTGTCAGCGGAATGATGATTCAAAGCAAGAAAACGAAAAGAAAAAATAATAAAAAAATTCTCTAGAATATATGCATAGAAATAAGAGAAGATCGTTCAATGCTCTCTCTTTCTCTCTCAAAGTATATAGTTCATTTTTTGATTTAAACAACTTCAATATGCCATAGAGAGTCTGGAATAGGTTGATCACCCCATTTAACAACCACTATATGTTCACCTTTTTCTCGAAGAGTCTAAACATTAGAAAACAACAATGTGTTATATTTTTTGCAAATATGAAATAAAAATAATTACTTACATATTGAACATTATATAGATTATTTCCAATATGTTTAATAAATACTTCTTCACATGGAGATTTCGCACCAAATACACTTACCTTTAACATAGCTTTACCTTTATTAATAAAAACCAGAATAGACGGTTATATAGAAAATAATTTAGTCAAAGTAAATCCTACCACCGTCGCTTGTGTCTACTGTAAATGTAGCCTTTTTATTTCGAAAGGCACGTAATAAACCATCTCCATGTGCTCGTACGCGACTTGCATCAATAGTTACATAGTTATCTAGTGAACTCACTAAATGTGATGAAGATTGTTCACTTGTATCATATCTTGAATGACTTGCTAAATTATCTTGTGAATATCGAACATATGATAATGTACTCATTGAACTGTAATCATCACGATTTGTATTCAAATTCATGTCTAAACAAAAATCATTCTTTATTTAATACCTATTATCCTTTACAGAATATTTTCTCATAATTAGAGATGCTGATCACCCGAAAAAGACTTCGTTCTACACAGTTGTATTTATGATTATTTGAATTCAAGATTAGAAATTTTTACCTTCGACTGAACATTTAAATGG